CAATCAGTACAAGTATTAAGCATATACGACCCACGACTTCAGGTGCACTCTCTAACCAATTCAGAAAAAGGAAATAATATCACCAGCACACCATTATTGTAAATCAATGATCCATTTTAATGGCACATTGCCATCCAATACAAGCGCTTTCGGGGCCGCAAGGGGTCCCCTTCATCAGGCTCAGAATGACACATCAGTAACAGATACATCAACCTTATATAGACATCAAACAGTGAGAATACAAATAAACCACTCCCATACACAAAATGACATCACTGGATCCGTTCCCGCCATAACTGGTTCAAATCTAAAATTACCTTGACTATTCCAGGTGCCCCGAGGCGCGAGGAGAGACCGGGCCGTTGTTCGGCCGGAGCGGGTGGTTGCCAAGGCGATGGGCCGCTTTTCACGGCCGTGAGCGCCGCCCATCTCTAGTGCGCATGTCAATCGTACGGGGCGCAAGGTGGCTTCCGGCTTGCGCTCCATCGTCGCTGCGTAACGGCCTGCGCATGCGCGTCATGTATCTAGGTAGAAGGAGGAGGGCTAGGTATGAACTGACACCGCCTTCTCAGTCAGAGGCGGAATGTACCACATTATTGGCTTGCGCTTCGGCGACGGGGTAGTGTCTGCGCAGTGTTGCCTTGTCATAAAAAGGAACCTTATGCTGTCATGAAATACCAGGTGCTGCCAGTGGGTGAAAATTAAATTAAAGGTTGTCAGGAGCAGACGAGATTGAGCCAAATGGCAGAACGGATTCAGTGGCAAAACAAAAATAAAACAAAAACCATGCGTGAACATTATAACAATAAAGGTTAACAATGTACATAGCTCATTCTGCATGTGAACACAGATTCTATACTAATTGGGCATCCATCATTGTCAAATTAAATGCAAAAGAAAGATGGCGCCTCCACATCAAAACGCAGGAGCTTTAGCATACATTCACTCCCATCATTGCCATAATAGACCCCAAAATTAATCGCCGGAGTATCCCCAAAAGAAGGAGGTTACTCTTGAACAGGTGTCATGTTATTTTGATCCGTATGTAACAACAGTGTATCTGGATAAAAATTATATATAGCGCTGTTCGCCTAGAACATTTAAAGGTTAGTAACATAGTTGAGGACCCTATAACGCTGGACACCTAGGTTGAAGGTTATCATTGGTCCCGGTCTAAAAAATTTTTTGGGTGGGTCGTGGTTGTGAGGGGTATGGGGGGTGGGACTTATTTAAAAAGACTGTTGGTGGGGTTGCTCAGAGCTGCCCAACTTAGTGTGGCCCACTGAGGAATTCAACAAATAAAGGAACGAAGGGATTCCTCACTTGGGTGAATCCCTAATCTAGTTGCTCATGGAATATAGGGGTTATCTTTCATCCAGAAAGCATGATAGTGACAGATTTGAGTTGAGGCCCCTGGGTTGTACACAATCCAGTGTAAAGATCCAGAAGGCCTCCCTGCGAAGGAGCTGTTTAGCCCTGTCGCCTCCCCTGGGATGTATATGTATCTGCTCGATAACCATTCCCCTAAGTTCGTGGGTTTGGTGTCTGTTCTTAGCAAAATGCATCGCAACCGGTTTATTTAGATCGAGTGTCTCGTTCTTTTGCATTTTATCCAGCGTGACCCTGATGTCGCTTCTATGCTTTTGAAAGCGACGTTTAAAGGGTCCAATCGTCTTGCCGATATATACAAGTGAACAGGGACATTTTAACAAATAAACACAGAAGTGTATATATATATAAAATGAATAAAACAATTTTTTAATGGATATATTTAAAATTTATAATATAATTAAATTGTTAGTAGGCCGCGAGGAAGTGAGGAGAGAGTTGGGGTGCAAACATATTATAGTAAGCGGCTGTGAAGCCGTCTGGGCCCGGTGCCTTCCCAGTTTTGGCAACCTTGATCGCTCTCTCCAATTCCGATAAGGAAATAGGGGTCTCCATCAGGTCCCCGTCCTCAGTGGCTAGAACAGGCATTCCGGATCCACCAACATAGGAGCGATCCTCGGGTGGGCTCGGAGTGGTCCTGCCCCTCCCCTGGTGGATGCAAGTTGTAAAGACTCTCGTAGAAGGCCCGAAATTCCTCCGCCATCTCTACCGAGGACATCGCTATATGCCCCGTATGCGTCACAATTTGGGAGATGAAGGTCCTGCTTTGCGCACCCCTCAAAGCCCTCGCTAACATCCTTCCTGGTTTGTTAGAGAACTCGTAGAACATCCGCCTACTGTTCCGGATGCGTCGCTTGACCTTGGTGAACAACAGGTCGTTTATTTCCAGTCTTACCGCTCGTAGCTCAGCTTGGGCAGCCAGAGCCAGAGACCGTTTGTGTGCTGCTTCCAGGGAATGGAGACGGCTGAACAGGTGGGCTAGGTGTTTTGCCCCTTCACGTTTCCTGCGCGCCCCATGTTTCACAAGTATGCCCCTAACGACACACTTGTGAGCCTCCCAGGGGATCATAGGTGAGGAGGAAGAGGGAACGTTAGTAGCAAAGAAGGATGAAAGCGCTGCTTCCCAATTCAGCCGTGACTTGGGTATCCTGCAACAAGGATTCGTTTAGGCGCCACATATAGCATGGAGAGATAGGTGCTGTCAATGATAGGGACATGTGTATGGGGGCATGGTCAGATAAAAGAATACTGTCGATTTGAAGCCGAGCGCACCTGGGGTAGTACCTTATGCTCGACAAAAAAGTAATCTATCCTGGAATAGGTCTGATGGACTTGCGAGAAAAAGGTGTAATCCCTATCCCGCTGGTGCATGAACCTCCATGCGTCTGTCAGGTGTAGGAGATGGAGCTCGGACTTCAGTCTTTTCAAGTAGGAGTATGCTAGATGGGAGGTGTCCCTAGAGACATCCACAAGCGGGTCCATTGCAAAGTTGAGGTCCCCTCCAAGTACCAGCGTGCCGTCCAAGAATTCCAGGAGGACCTGGAACAGAGTGCGGATAAATCCCAATTGATCTGTGTTGGGAGCGTACATGTTAGCTAGGGTCACTGACACGCCACCTATTGTCCCCCGCAGGAGCAAAAACCTTCCGTTAGGGTCCACGTACTGATCTGTGTATGCCCATGGGACAGTCTTAGCAATAAGAATAGATACACCCTTGGACTTTGACAACGGGGAGGGACAGTGATGCCCAAATGGGAAATCCCTATTCCCCAGCCTGGGGACCTGATCCTTTTTGAAATGCGTTTCCTGAATAAACACTATTTGGGATTTAGCCGTCTTCAAGTCCGCCAGTAATCTTGACCGTTTTTCAGGGATATTCAACCCCTTTACATTCAGTGACATAAAAACGGTGGCCGCCATGACAGCTGTGGGAGGCACGGAGAGCATCCCTTGTGGAAAGAGAGGAAGAGGAGCGGGAAAATCCAGAGAAGGTGAAGCAAGAGAGAAGAAGACCGCCTAAGGCAAAGGTGGAGCTAGGAGATAGGACAGAAGTAGACAGTAGAAGACTAGCAGGTATGGTAGCAATTCACCAATGGGTGATCGCAACCTGACCGGACTACCGGTACAGGTAAGTCAACAAATGTATCCACCCGTTGCACAATGCACGGGGTATCCCTATGTGGGGGTTGGTCCGAAAACAGCGAAGATGCAAAGGATTACAAACCAAACAACAGTGCAAACAAAACTATATCGATAGGAAAGGAGATGCATGTCTCCCCTCCCATTGTGGTGTGGCACTGTCCACGGCACCGCACCTAACTATTGCGACATCGAGCTAGCAACTGGGATAGAAGCTTGTACACATCGGAGGCCCGAACCAAAGCCAAGCCAAGGCCTCCCTGCCGCTGGAGCCGCTCTGCAATGTGCCCGTGACCCGTGCCCTCCACATAATACAATATCATACCCCCCCCTCTATGTGTCCCGTCAGTACAATACGGACCCCTCAGGCTAACAGCAATACACATGTAGGAACTTTTTAGATCGTATCGGCCCGGCCCCTCAAAAAACACAACCCATTAACTCAGATAATCATAGAAGTGTGCAAAACAATAACATGAGAATGCAGGTGTCATGCAAAACTTGTAGGCCCGTTACCTCACCGGGAGCAGCCCTCGCAACGTGCAACAGGGGCAGGCAATATACCCAATAGTGCGGGAGGCTCTGGCAAGGCACATCATGGCAGTTCAATGCGGGCTATAACATCTCGCCAACAGAGAGCAGACCTTAAGGTTCATGGCCCGTCGGGGCAGGCACGGAGGACGAATGCAGGGAGTAGCGACGCCTGCTCCTGGAAGGGCGAGCTGCTCGTTGACTGCAGGGAGCTGCTTCCACGGTTCCTGTAGGAAAGTCCAGCCAGTCCGGGAGGGCAATCGGAGCGATATTCAGCAAAGTAAACAGGTCAGGTACTTGAGATGGTGAGTGAAGGGCAAAGGTACGTTCCCGGTGTTGTATGAGAACACGGAAAGGGTGCCCCCATCTATACACAGCACCTGCTGTGCGGAGCCCGTCCAGAAGTGGCTTCAGCATCCTGCGCATCCTCAGGGTGTGACGGGAAAGGTCTGGCATCACCTTCATAGTAGTACCGTCAAAGTCCAGAGGTCCTTTAGTCCAAGCCTTCCTCATAATCTCCTCCTTGACGGCAAAGAAGTGGACTCTGCAAAGCACGCCCCTGGGCACCTCTGAGGCCGGTGGCCTAAACGATTGGACTCTGTGTACACGGTCTAGCTCCATATACTCGCCAGGTGGTTTGTCAAGGTACAGATTCAATATGGCCGATACAGTGGAGCGCAGTTCAGGGCCTGCAGTTCCCTCAGGAATCCCCTTCAGTCTGACATTGTTCCGCCGATTTTCTATTCTCAGCGTCCTCCTGTAGTAGGAACATGGACGTCAAGCGTTGCTGGGAGGCTATGTGGGCATTTTCTAAGGCGGTCATCCGAGCCCCCAGGTCAGAGGTGGAGGCCTCCACAGAGGTGACTCTACCATCCAAAGAGATAACTTGCTGTTTAATCTCGTGCACCTCTGTCTTCAGGGCTTGCACTATCTTGGTCGCCATGTCCTCCAAATCTGATTTTGTGGTGAGCTGGGGAAGAATGGACCGCCACGTGCTGTCCTCATCTGCACAGCCTGCTACAGTAATGCCCGACAATCCTGATCTCATTGGGGAGTCTGCCTGTGGCATCCTAGGGGTCTGGATGGGAGATAGCTCTCTATCCGCCCGCCGGGTGTCAGGTGCTGACGCGGCCTGCTGTGTCCGCCGAGCGGTGTCAGGGGCTGAGGTGGCCTGTTTTTGCGGCGTGTTACTCACAACAGTGAGGCAGCCGGACGCCATCTTGGCCGGGAGATCCTGCGGGCCCGTTTGCTTGCTGTGGCCGAAATATCGCCGGATACCGCCGGAGGAGGACGGAGGTGATGAGCTCCAGGGTCGGTGAGTCTGTGACATGCGGGCAGAGGGTAAGTAAAGTCCGCTGAGATAGGTATAGTCCGTATGAGAGAGGAAACCGTGTAGAGCTCCGGGAAAGCACGTCCTCACTCAGCCATGTTCAGGCCACGCCCCCGTGCAATGTATTCTTTAAAAAAAAATCCCACTTCTCATCAGTGTTCATTGTTAGAAATAAGTTGTCCAATTTGTTGTCATGCACTAGAAGACGCAGGTTATTGAAGTTTGACTTTTTGAAACTTAGCATTCTTATCACACCAACACGCTTCTCTTTTCTACCCAACATTAAAATTAATCATCCTGTGATCACTATTACCCAATTTATCCCTAATCGTTTGTCTGCAACTAGGTCCTCATTATTAGAGATTAATAGATCCAGAATTGCATTCCTCCTGGTCGGAAACTCAACCATCTGATCTATGAAATTGTCCTGCAACAGGTTCAGAAAATTGTCAGCCTTTATAGAATGAGCGGTACCATGTGACCAATCAATCTGGATAATTGATGTCCCCCATTTCCCTGCTTCCCAGTTATTTCTACTTGGGAGTGTAAGTGAGCCGCCTCCTCCTTTTCCCTTATGGTCGGGGGGGCTTGTAACACACACCCATACTATGTTTGTTTACAACTAGAATCAGTCTTATCCAGTTCTAGCCACAGAAACTCAACACCATCGCAATTTTCTGTCATGATATCCTCTCGTATGTGCACAGCAAGATTGCTTTTCACATACGTGCATACTCCTCCCCCCTTTTACCAACCCTGTCCCTCCTGAACAGGTTGTACCCTTGTACATTAGTTGCTCAGTCATGTGAGCTGTCTAGCCAAGTTTCTGTTATTCCCACTATATCGAAGTCTTCTTCGAGTAGCATAAGTTCAAGTTCCTCTAGTTTGTTTGCTAGACTTCTAGCATTCGTGTACATACATTTTAGTTTTGTGCTAGTGGTTCGAATTTATTATATTATTGCATGTTCCTGAATCCCAACTTATTCTTTTATCTGACCAAGGTATGGTAGATACATTACTAATGTGTTTGACCATTAGATATTTTTTACTACTGTTATTCCTTATAATTTTTCAGGAGAGGCAAATTTAAAATCTGCATTCACATTCTGCGTTCACATGAACTGATAGACAATGTTTATTTCATCACCTGTAAAGGCATTTTTTTTCACTGTCGACAGGAGATCATTGCAAACTGGAATTCGCAGTGGACATTTTAGACTCTCTTTGGTCTGGTGGCACCCCCAAGGAAATTAGGGACAAAGTCCCGATGCTTTTGTCTACAGACCTCTCATTTCCTCCATGCGAGTTTATATCCTATAAACAGGGAGAAGAAAGTAGGAGGTAGATGGATCGCCTGAAGAATGTATAGAATCCTGGGGAGAATAGTCATCTTTAGGACTTGGACGGGATATAAAGAGAATCAGAGCAGCTGCGTAGGCTGCCAATTTGTGAGTCCCCGAGGGAACCTGAAGGCCCCCGACGGAATCATCTGCCCTAATGGTGCATAGTAGGGGTTCCAACGTGAGGATAAAAATCAGCGGGGACAGGGGGCATCCCTGGCGGGTGCCATTGGAGATGGAAAAATATTCTGAACGAGTTTCATTAACTCTCACAGCTGCCGTTGGGGACGAGTAAAGGGCCATAATCCATGACCGCATACGTGACTACTAATGTGTTTGGAGTGAGCCCTCTCTTCCCCCTTGTATTACTGCCCTCCTATATTAACTGTCCATGTAGTTGCATGCTCTGTTTATTTTCCCCATTTTTATTCCCTCCCCCTCATTATCTAGTTTAAAAGCTCCTCCAGTCTTTTAACCATTTTCTCCCCCAAACATGCTCCACCTTCCCCATTTAGAGGCAGCCCATCTCTGCTGTAAAGCTGGTAACCGACTGAGAAGTCAGCCCAGTTCTCCATGAACCCAAAGCACTCTTTCTGACACCAGTTCCGCAGCTACTTGTTCAGTTCCCTCAATTCCCTCTGCCTCTCTGAATTGGCTCTTGGCACCGGCAGTATTTCAAAAAATACTACCGTGGAGGTCCTTTTACTAAGTCTTTGAACTTGCTTTTTAGGGCACTCCATTTGCCTCCAATTTTGTGATTGGTGCCCAAGTGTATCATGACAGCTGGGTCATGCCCAACCCCATGCAGTAACCTGTCCATCCGTTCTGCAATGTGTCAAACACTAGCCCCCAGTAAGCAACAGCCTGTTTGATGCTCACGGTCCCAATGACCCATTACCTTGTCTGTCCTTCTGATAATAGAGTCCCCACCACCAATATCTGTCTCCTCATCCTGCTCCCATCCTTACTGGAGCAGTCACTCCCCTTGCTGATCGGAGAAGCGTCTTGCTCCAGCAATGCCACCCCTGAACTAATGTCCCCAACATGCCACCTGGCATATTTATTAGGGTGTATTAATTCAGGGCTAGCCTCTTAGACTCTTCCCTCTACCCCCACCTTCTAACAGGAGCTCAGCAACACACTTCGGGCTCCTGTTCCTCCATACCCCACTCCTCCTGTATACTGCCCTCCACTAGAACCTGATGAGTCAGATCCAGACTCCTTTCCATGTTTATGCTCCACAGTGTGGCCACTTTATTGTTTTAGATCCAGAATCTTGGCTTCCAAACAAACTGCTAGCTCACATCTGGTGCAACAGTATTCGCCCTCGAACACATGTTCAAGAAACACATACATTGACGTGCGCCGGGTTGCATACCCACTCATTTATTTTCTACTTTTAATGTATTTATTTATTTAGTTCAGGCCAGTCAGTACCCCAGTAATTCTCAGCAGATTTACTCCCAATGCTCCACAGTTATTAATAATGCAGTCAGTGCCCCAGTAATTCCCGGCAGATTTTCTCCCAATGCTCAGCAGTTATTAATAATGCAGTAAGCAGTCAGTACCCCAGTATTTACAAGCAGATTATTAGTAATACACCCAGTACCACAATAATTCCCAGCAGATTATTACTCCCCCTGCACTGTAGCTATTCGTAATATAGTCAGTACTACAGTAATTCCCAGCAGATTATTATTTCCAATATACAGTGGTCATTAGTTCCACAGTCAGGACCACAGTAATTTTCCAGCAGATTATCACAATTAATGCCCAGCAGTTACCTCCAGTAATGCTTATCTGCTTAATGGATGAATATTTATTTATTTTCCCCCTCAGATACAATGCAATCAGCCAGGCAGCCAGATCCGATCCCCCTTCTCTCACAGATTCTCTGCCTGATCAGCTACCCCCCC